TGAGCATTCAAAAACTAAATTTTTTTGAAGGTACCTCCGATAGTAGAATTTTAAAATTTTATATGTAGCCTATGTTACATTCAGGCGATGCTGTAGTATATATGGAATTATTGAGGATATCGACAGTTTTCCGTTTAAAACAACAAAAATGTTACCTATTTTTGATATATGTTTTAATTGAAAACACGCAGAAATAGTTCTTTTTTTTTGATGTCTTCATTAAAACATAAACCAAATTTTATAGTAGTGATTTGATCCGGTTAAACCTCTTTTGATCGTGGTACTATTCCTAGATAAATACTTTTAAAATGCTCGCTTTGATTATCTCTTATAAATATACATATTTGTTAGTAACAAACAAATTCATTTCTTTTTACAGCTCACTTGGCAAATGCCGACAATTCAATGGTGTCCAATAAAGCGGTCAGCCCCACAACTGCGACGCAACAGGGCCAGTTAAGAACCAAAGTGAATGACAATCTTACAGTTACTACACACACTTCCACAACCAAAGCTCATGTCAGCAATTCCACATCGTCCACATGCGCGGTTGACGGCATCAATTGTGGCCCCTCGAAGAACTGTGGACAGCAAAATATGCCATTGCCGGCAGTTCGATCCACCGCAACAGCAGTCAGCGCAACCAGTGGCGTTGGCAAACTGAGCGGAGGAGTCATAAACAACAATACAGGCACTACAAATTCTACACGACACCAACAACAACAACAACCTCACTTAACACCAAGTGCTACACAACCTAATGCTGCGACAGAAAATAACACAGACATGGCGGGACATCATAGTTGGGATCCTGGTTTAGGCGGAGTGGAACACCTAGCTGGAGCGGCACTCAGTCCGCTGTGCATCACCAATTCCAATCATGAAATTGTTCGACCGAAACCACGAAGGTAACTATGTACATAACTCCCGTTCCCCTACACATGTATATGTGTAAATACATAAATGTGCTATTACATATTAGGGCACAGTGAAGTATACAACAACATATTGTGATATTCGCCGTTACTAGACTGTGTTAAAGTGTGGCATATGTTAAGGCGCATTTTGGCGAAAACAGCCACTCAGCGATTGCCTTTGGTCTGCTAAAAAGCCACCAACTGCAATGGCGAAAAACATCCAAAAGTCTTTGGGTGATCAATTGGATAATGAATTGAATCGATTACGTGTGATAAAGGGGAGTAATATTCGATTATAAATCGCTGATCAAACGTCATCTTTATAAATTACATTTACAAATACAATCTTGACAAGCGTCTACCCAACTTATTAAAAATTTGTCATTTTTCAAATTAAGTCCCATAGAAAACCCCATTCGGCAGCATACGATTTCGATACACCTATGGCTGAAAGGAAGGAAAAATATACCTTCGGAAAACATTTCCAACTAAAATCAATAGCAACAATTATTTTTTTTTAGGTTTATCAACAAAAAAAGATTAGAATCAATTTGAAAGCTCTTGGCCAAACAGCATACTTATCTATGTTTATGGTTAGGCGCACAGCTTGCAATGTCGTCTTGCCTAGAAGGAATTGTTTTTGATTTCCATCTCAGAATCTGTGAAAACACATTCTATGCTGGTCAAGGTCTGCGTGCGAGTGAAACTAAAATTATGGCCATAAAATATGTACACATTTTTGTGTGCATGTATGTCTACACTGGCAGAACAGCAGATTAAGTCAGCAAAATAGTTTTACCATCGCCATTGTGTTCTCAACCTTTTTAGTTCACGAAATATCTACTCGGCGTTTCTCTGCGAGACGATTTGTAGGGGGAGAGGAGGCTATGTGCGTGTGTAGTAAATGCGAACTCTTATTATGCCATTTGGATAATTGTGTCTTGAGCTGGCTTCTTGTGTTGTTTCGGGTGAATACATTTTGTTGGACATACAAAGATGGCCTTAATAAAGGGCACTGGAATATGGGTCTGCAAAAGGTCAACGAAATACAAACTCGTTTTATATCGCGATTCTTTGTTTGACCAATAAGGCATAGATTGCAATCAGTCGATCTCTGGGTTTAAACTATATCACATAATGGAGTGTTAAGATAACATACAAGTTCGGAAAGAAACGATGATTGTGCAGAAAATAAATACTGAGAGATAAATTCAACAATAATGACCGGCTAGTTGGGTGGGTGTTCGTTTCTTGGGTCTTTTGTTACTGTCAACTACATACGCACAGAATGGCAGAATTTGATAATCGAATACGGAATGGTCAAACAGAAAGATATTTATAAATGGCTCGGAAAATACATCAACTGATGACGTTTACACGCTAGCATGTCCCAACTGTTGCGACCGTTGTTACCAATGAATGAGCGGGCGCGTGTGGTTGATCAGGTCCATGTGCCGTTGCTACATTGCCAGATGCAACATTCGACAGGTAACACCTGCACTTCTAAGGTTTAGCTCTTCGATTGATGTAATTTTGATTTGCCAATTCGTTATTGGATCAGTGGAACATGACAAAACAAAGTGGCGTAGATGCGTGACAAAACTGAAGAAATTTTGGATGGTTGTGAAGCACCCTTTCGGAAAAATACAACTTGTGCCCGTCGCTTAAAACAGCTAAGAATGATGCAGAAACCTCAACTCCTCTGTTCACCCTTCGCCGTTCTTTGGAATTGTGTATAAAGACTTTCGCCTTAAAGTTTATAAAGTTCAGTTAGCACATGAACTCAAGTCGGTCGCTCATCAACAACATCGTGTCTTTGCTGATTGCTTCTTTGAAATCATGAAAATTACCCGTATTTCCATCGAATTTGATATTTTGACTGATGAAACTCATTTCAACCTCGGTGGAAAAAATGTCACATCTGGGACTCGAAACTCAAAAAGTTATTGTTGAGAAACCTCTCCAACTTCAATGTGTGACTGTTTGGTGCGGTACATGGTCCGTGGGGAGTTTAATCTCACATTCCGAAAAAAGATTAGGTGCGTCTGGTTACTCTAAAATTTGTAACAATTGTTACAAATTGTTACTGGAAGTCGTCTGTTAACCCGAAAGTTCTGCAAAAGGAGAGAGAAATTTTGACAGTTCTTTCAGTGAGAGTTTGCAAATTCTTCCTGGACAAATTTCTTCTTGCAATCACTTGCAACTCTTCTTCTTCTCATTCATCGACATTCAATCAGATGTTTTCTATTGTTTGTTTAGTTTCAATTTGAGAACAACGTAAAAGAATGTGAAAAAAAGTAAATATTAATATGTAATAAGAAAATAAAAGACTATTTCCAACATTTTTATTTAAAAAACTTGTAAAATTAGTATTGCTTCCTTTGTTTTAATTCTCCTTATGGGGACAAATTGGTTTGTTTTGACAAATCAGCTGATTAGTTGCAAACTTCTGTAGGAATACCGTCTGTTTACTTTTCGCATTTTCCTTGCAAAAGAGAATAAAACTACCTTACTCTCTCAGAAAGAAGTTGCTGGACAATTCCTGCTGGAAAAGTAACCAGACACACCTATTAATGTTTTTTTTTTCATGATTTATGGGAGTTCCATGGTATTGACCTAAAAAACGTTTACCTTCAACAAAGACAGTGTTAAGTGCCACACTTACTCCGAAATCATTGCTCTTTTATGGGAAAAGTTTCCAGTTCGCAATATTGCGATTAAACTCCTTGGTCTTTTAAAAGCCAAGTCGTACCCCAAGAATCTTTGAATACCCAAATAACAAATATTATGGTAAAATATAATAACAATTTGAGGGAAATCGGTAAAGAAATTGCCTATGTTGAGTGCGCGTGGAAGCTACATCTAAATCAGAAGAGATTTTTATCACAAAAATTATGAAATTCATATCAAATGCCTTATTGGTACAATGATTTTTTTTAACCCCCCACAGGGCATTTCTTGAAGCCTTAAACAATGTCTTAAAAAAATGCTATGACAAGGCCAACAAACCATTTCTATTACTCTCCAATATTTTTTCCACAGATTTCCCCCCATATATGAATTGCAAGTCCAGAGGACTCATAACTAAATTTTCCTCCTCAGTTGATGTGGTCTCATCTCCGAAACACATGTATAGCGGCTACCAAATAACAAAGATTTGATTGCATTTACCATGTACACGATTTTTGTTCCAGTTGTCGCTTTAATGAGACGAGAAAGTGTGGGAGTTGTCAGGTCTAAAATCACACCATCAACCCATTGTCTTTTTCATTTCAGACGTGTCATGTTTATGCAAGTTCATTCTGCTGCAACTTCAACCTGAACTTTATCGGCTGCATTGTCTTTTGTTTCCCTTTGGCGCAAATAAATTTTGCCAGCACTGCAGTGTGGAGATATTTTTGAGGCTATTGGTCTCAGAGCCCCTGTAATAGTCTAGTGTCTTTAATATGACTTGAAGTGTCGAATAGTTTACTTCACTGGCCGTCAATACATGTATTACAAAATGTCGACTTTTACTTGTAAACCGTTGGCCCAAACCAGCAGTATGGTTTTTATTTTAGTCAACGTTCAATCTTCCAACTTCGGAAGTAATTATGAAGGTAATTATTTAAATTGTCTCCCAACAACACCTTCGTCAGCTACACCCCATAATGTGATGGTTGTGCAACACACAACCCCTACCACAATAGCGACAAGTCTTCACTTTGGCCATAGTTCCACGGGAATTTTCAATGATCCCACACTGCCGTAGCTGGGCTTACTATAACAAAAAAACGGCAACAACAGCAAATATTGCTTACTATCATCACTTTTCTTTTCATTGTTTGACTTTCCGAGACTTTTCACGCAAACATAACATTAAAATTTCTAAAACAATAACTTGTACTTTTGTTTTATACGGTCGACATTACGACGGGTATTCTCACAGTAACAGGCCGCCGAGTACTTTTTCTGTTTAATTGCAGACACATTTGTTTTCCTGTACACCGAGCGGAGCCACAGTTGCCTTGGCTCCACTGGCTTGGAGCTCTGGACTTCAATTCATATTTGATATAGCAAGTGCGACCGACCGACCGACCGACCGACCGACCAGCCAGCCAAGCGGCTACCGAACTATGCAGCCAGTCAACGGGCCATACCTCTGAGTACATGTAATGTATTTGATTCAGCTGGGTTGTATAATAAATTAATTATTATCATTTCTTTCTATAATTGGCTAAAACAAAAGAAACTATTTGAAGAAGAAGAGAAGAAGCAAGCTGAAAACACTTAGGCAAGTAAGCGTAGAAAGTGTCTACAGGAAATTTAAGTATTTGCAATTAATTCGGAATGAAGCAGGCATACATTCGCATCTAATCTTGAGCCTGTAATTGTGTTTTCCACAATAAACATAAACAAGAACATGAGTCTTAAACTGCTCAATATTTTGCCGACTGGAAGATCGCTAAGCACACATCAATCATTTCACCAAGACGGCTGTTTTGGTACGAAAAAATGCTTCTTTGGCATTAAATATTGAGCGGAGAAATAAGCGAAAAACGGGTTACCTAATGAAATGCTAATTTCGTTGTCACCAGTCATTGCCATAAATGATACGATGATGTTTTCGCAGGCAGTTGAGGAGTGACACAGCGCCTTTTTGCCTTCACGCCCAAGTATAAGAGAACAATGTTTGTGCCTATAGGATCTTTCTAATCTTTGTGAACTTGTTCTCTGACAATTACTTTTTGGCAACTAATAGATACAAGCTTATTATCCACGGAATAGAAGCACACTTTGGATAAACTTTGTAAAACCATAGTATCAGTGGCACAACTAACTTGTATCTGCAATGTCTTCATTTTTAGCTGACATTGGCAATCGGAACTACAGAATCCAGAAAAAAATCCATTGCCATGTAATGGGTTTGTTTGCCAATTGTAAGTGCTAGTAAAACCTAGTAACTCCTTATTTTTACAAGGCATGTCGCTCGAAATAGTTAGCTATTCGTTGGTTATTAAAAGTTGACAAATCAGTGGTAAAAACGTCTGCTTTATTTTTTGGAATTAAAATGTCAGCTTTTAGTAAATGTAAAAGGTTCAATGAAATTAGGGTAACGTCATTTCAAAGAAGCATGTACAGCTCTGTAATTCCTGTAATATACATTTTTCCAAATTTAGCTGCATAGAAAACAAGTTCCCCCTCTGATTTGTGTTAATACAACATTTTCATTTTGACAATGACATGTTGTCAAAGGTATCATTTTGAAAGGGAAATTGTAAACATATGATTGCATAACTTAGCCTTTATAGTTCTCTCTTGGTATAATAAGGAGGTAGAACAAAATGATGAAACTACACAAATGCAGTCCTGAGGCAATGCCCGCTTTCTGTCAGAATTATTCAAAATTAGATGCAAGAAGTTGTTTTCATTTATTTGATATTTTCCGTTTATATATTTACCCGAACTGCGATATACGTGTCTTCCAATCATTGATTTTGAAGTATAAATACATACACAAAATCTTACCTTTTTATTGTACCATGAGTTCTACCATGAAAATGACTTAGATCCGTTGATTTTTATACCCTTCACCACAAAGTGGTCAGGTTATTATGTCTTGGTGCATTTGTTTGTAACAAACAAAAGGAAGCGAGATAGACCCATAGTTTCGTTTGATGAGCCGCATAGAATCATATTCTGAGTCGATTTATGCATTTCCGTCCGTCTATCCATATATTTTGTAAACAAAGCATTTATCGCCTGATCCAGACTAAAGTTTGCACAAGTCATTTGTTTGACCCAAGGACGAACCCTATTGAAATTGTTAAATATTAAATGAAGCTGTACTAAAAATGCAAAGAGGTGTAGGGTATCATAAAGTCGGGCTCACCCGACTTTTATTCTTTCTTTACCGGTTCAAACAAACAAGATATTGAAAATGTTATAACTTTTCAAAAAAAAGTCATCCCTAATGAAAGTTTAAAAAACACGCCTTTAAGGTCAGATTATTTCTCACAAATTGCAGTGCATAAATACGTTAATGCCTCTACTTCATAAATGTTTTGTTTTTTTTTTTTTCTTTAATTATTACTATTTTTGAGTTTTACAAGAATACTTACCATTATAAGATAACAAATTCAATCTAAATGTGTATACACAATCAGCACTCGCTTACCAAGAGAGTGTCGTAACTCACAAAATTAATTTTTTTTCAATTATAGGTTATTCATTCTGCTTCAGTTCTGCTTCATATTGTGCCTCAGCGATCTTTTACTTTAGTCGATTTGTTGAGATTGTATCTACCTTTTAAATTCCAGTCCATGTTTGATTTTGCACATATATTTAAATAGGATTACATTGGTCCATCGCTTAGGGGTAATGTTCAATTGGAATTTTAGAATGCGTTTTCTGCTGAATCGATTTTCTTGAGTTATGACACTCGGTGAGTAAAAGAATGGTGTGTATCTGTGTGCGAACGCATTTTGTTGCCATTACACATAAATTTGCATTTTCAGTTATACTCTCGCTATTGTTTGTTTGACGTCTTGGTTTTCTTTGCGAAACAAAGGCCCGTGTTCAAGTCAAGATGAAGACTTAAAAAGCGCGGAGGGATAGCATAGAGGGGCAGACAGACCACCATTCATGCACTGTGATTTGTTGTTGAAACGCCTAGTACGTTGCGCAGCCGCACTTTAGCGCTGTACAACACAGCTCATCATCGCCGCCGCCCCACAGACAAGGCCTGGCTGTGGCAGCTGCGCTCAGCAGTGAAAGATCTAACTTCAAACGTCTAACAATCATCCACATCAAAACTGAAAGCAAGCTCATGCTAAGCCGCAATAAAGTTTCAGTTTCATTTTACTGCTGGTCATGAACGGTTGTCGTGGAAAGAAGATAAAACTTGGTGTCGGAACAATACTCAGTTACTTTATATGAACGGCAGTCTCTTCGACGTTTCCATTCCAGACGCCGAGCGGAAAATGTTAATAGGCAACTGCACGCTTGATGACCTGACACACACTACTGTTCGTAACGCAAGCGGAAACATTGAGACGACAGCGAAAAGTTCTTCCGAGATTTCACATTGTTTGAACGCTCACGTCCGTTACTCGGCTCGCAATTTTCTTGCTTTCGATCCGGAGCTCAATCTTGGTCTTATTTGAAATGGTCGGTTGCTAGTGAAGTGTGTCCATAGGAAGTGTTGTAATAATCGAAATTAATGAATGGAACGTAACTCGAAATAAAATTCAAGTATTTGCAAAACAGCATAGAGCACACGCTATTGGTGTGCGGCGGGTGTACGACGGCGGCAGCACTCCAACATCGATATGAAAATACATATGTACATATGTCTGTAAAAATGGCAATGACATGAAAGATAGAAACGGGTCGAAAATGTAAACGCCGGTTACTTTGAGAACGTTTCCACTTAAGCAAGTGTGTTTGTGTGTGTGTGTGTGTGATAGTGTTTGTTTTTCTGTCGTATCTGATAGACCAAAGACTCGAGAAGCTACTGAACCAAAACGTAATGTATTGCACCAAAGACTGTAATTGTAGTCTGTGTCGGGAATTGCGGGGATTCAAGCCGGGAAAAGGCGTTAAGAAACCTGCACCCCGGCCTCCTGTCACTTCATCGATATTCGGCCGTTTGAATGAAAATTTTATTTTGCGTCGGCGGGCTTCGAGCTCCATCAAGACATTTCAGCCGCAGTCGTTGAAATGCAGCGAAATGTGTCAACAACGTGATATCGGCCAGATTTATGATTTTTGTCGACGCCAAACCCAGACTCCGTCGCCCACGCCAGTGACTCAGGCCCCTCCCTCGCCCCAGTCAATCCGAAGCATCGAGAACGGAGGCTGCAAGCCACAAACGCCGCCCAAACCCAATCACAAGGTTGTCATTTACTTTGGCGACTCGCTAGCTTACCGCGGCAACAAGAGCAGCACAGATGAGGCAGTGTCACCGACACCGATCGCATTGCAACTCAATACCAGCGATCTCGTTTCGCACACACAGAATGAGAACACGCCAACAACGAACGCTGAGCTGCCACCTTACATTGAGAGTGTGCAGAATGGTGTAATTAATATTAAGATTGAAGGCAACTATCAGCAAGCAACTGCCCTAGTCGACAAGGTGTCTAGGCCCTGTCAAGCGCTTGTTGGCAAGCCCAGGGATAACGAGGATAATCCAACGGACGATGATGAGGACGACGACGAAGGCAGCGCCGGCGGTCATGAGCGTAGCGACGAGGAGGACGCAGCTGTTGGCGTTGGCGATTGGAGTTTCGTTCAAGGATGGCGTGCACGGTAATAAGGAAACTACATTTAATGTTTTGTTTTTACTCAACAAATTAAAGTCATTGCACAGTGGTCCCAAACCATGACAAAAATATAAAAAAAACCCGAATACAACAAATCTTTACTTTAGCGCTGCGCAAATATTCTCTTAACATATCAAATATTAATATTCGAATACTATTTTTTTACTTTAAAAACCGCATTTGACAATCCCAAATCAGAGAATGTTGAATAATTTTTTTTATGATTTTGGAGAAGGTTGACATTCTAATTGCAGTATAGGCAGCTCAAAAATTGAAATCAAAATAATTTTTGGATTAATTCACTCTAACTGCAGTAGAAATAAACTCTTAGAGTGCGACTTTATGTATGTATGTTGTTAAAAAAGGTTTGCTTCTACTTCCTGGGGCATTCCTCGTCACTCTCAAACGTTGGTCCATATTACTGGAAAAAGTGTGTAGTTTACGAAAATATTGTCACAGCTGCATATATCTGCATGTGTTCCAGAATGTAAGCTTGATCTTTAAAATAGGCAAATGTGGAGGTATCTTTATATGGGAGGTTTACTGTTGATTTCTTCAAATCGGGTTTTGTGTCAGGTATATCAAAAACATGTTCAATGTTGACAGTTTTTGACAAAACAATTTGTTATCCTATCCCTAACACGAATGTTAAATTTTGGCAAAATCAATTGCAAACATATGGTAAAAACCCTCCAAAGAAGTAAAAGTGGGGTATTCTATGGAAGCTCTATCAAATTGTATACCCATATCAATATTATTTTACAAGAAATTCAGGTATCCATTAAGAACACCAGACGCCAAATTTTATGGGGATTATGCCTAAAAGTGGATCATACTTCATTTTTTTTGATCACACTGTATTTTACTTATTATAAAGCTACTCTAAAAAAGCCAGATCAATTAGTTGTATAGGCACATTTTTGTCACAACTGCCCATACATGTGGGACCACTGTCCTTCAATCTTATCATGATTTTTGATTTGTTTTTTGGTTCAAAGGACAAATTCGACAACATGTGCTGGCGGTTTTACGAAGGTCAACGAAAGACTGTTTTCGCTTTCAATACGATTCATTGAATATAGGGTGTTCAGTTGTCTTGTCGACCTAAATTAAGAGACTATCTGTATTCATTCGACAACAGCGTATAATAATAATAGAATTTTTGTCTGTTGCTTTTTCAAATTCTTCTTCCAATTTTCAAAATCTTCTACCCTGCATGCTGGGCACGACCAACATGCTCATACATGCCTAGATCAGCTAAAGAATCTAGCACACAATTCTTCTTCGTCGCACTCTTAAGTTACACTGACTATTCAACGGGCATGTTCTTTTCAGCTGTTAAGCTGTTAACATCCCAACAAGACATCGAACGGTAAAACAATTTAACAGTTTTCTTTTCATATGCTAATGCCGACACCTCTTTGTCGGCTCTGTTTACAAATGGAGAGAAGCTGGCGAATTTCTTTCAGAAGGCAGATATGTGTCACGGGTTGTGCGTTCCACTTGTGGTGGCTGTGACATAATTTCAATTCGATTGTCCCAAGCGGAGACAGCCAACAGTTAGATTAAGTCAACAAAACAAAAGAATGCTAATTACAGAGAGTTCATTGTTTGCTTTGGGTAGACGACTAAGACCTAATAAAAAGGTGAAATCTGATATGAGGTGCCCTATTGCTCTCTAGGAATATGGCGAATGGTTTGAAGTATGTTCAGACATTTACTTGATATAACGTTCCCAAAGGGGAAATTCCCCAGCTTTGAGATGAAATAAAATAGCGATCAAATATATGTATATAGCAACCTTTTGTGCTGTAACATTCCCTTTGTTTGTTCCTTAAATTAATTTATTTTATAGACCTGGTGGTGTGGGTAATGCTACTGGTGGAATTCTTAACAACCTTACCGTTACCGACCAACTTTAAAATTGAACTTTAAATAAAAGCGAATGACACAGATTGCATCGGTAACTCTCAGCGATTGTTTTACTTGGGACGCCAATTTACCGACAAATTTTATTAATTAATGAAATGATGAGCATTTATCAATGAATTTCGATTTCAGTTCAAAAATCACTCTTTTAATTGAAAAATGACCTATTGCATATTTTTTTTAAACAGTCTGAAACCACAAATAGACCTGGGTAGAGTTGAGGCAGGATTTGTTTTTTTTTTTTTTGATTATTTATTGTTAGAATGATAATGTAGGATAAAATGATAATGTAGGACATGTAGATAATTTTTAATATATTTTAAGAAACTTGGGAAAAATCGCATTTTTACAGTTATCCAACATCTATTGATAATTTGTAACTTGTTCATTGATGGATTGTCAACACTTGCGATTTATTTTTCCAGACCGGTGGGTAACATACGTCCTGATTTATGCAGCCAGCGTACCAGCGCCCCTTTTTCCTATACATCTGGCTTGCCGGCAACCCCAACTTCCAGTGCCAACATGACTCAAGTAAATGCAAGTGGCTTACAAAGCTGCTCCACAAGCTCCGTACGCATTCACAGTCCGGCTGTGGCAACACCAGCTCCACGCATACCTAAGGAAGTGGCTCAACGACCGCTGACAAATTTAGGTGGTCAAAGCGAGGCCAATGCTGGTCCCTTAAAACTGTCGACACATGTCCCTCCATATTTGGAAAATGGACAAACCAAGATGGACGTTAGGACCTTATCGCAAAATGGTAATACGGGAAAGATGGGACCGCAGCGGGCTATATCAGGGCCATCCCGGCTCACAGCACAAAGTACACCGGTAAGGTCGCAGCCGCCAATGCTGAGTGGCAGCCTCTGTCAACAACCAACCAATACGTGTGGTACGACCAAATGCTCCGATCGAAGCGCATACGACTTCAGTGCAGCTGGTATTGGCATACCAATTGAGAGGAGTTTTCAGCCAAATTCTAGCAATGCGTCGAAAGGGAATCATCCCACTCGAACTCATCACCACGAGTTTCGGGCTTTGGAACGTGTAAAGGAGTGTCATAGCTCCTCGGATGAGAATCGATCATCTGGTCATGCCAGCATGTCGGACACCGGTGGTCATGGCAGTTCCTCGCCCGGTGGTGTTGCGCTGTGTCCTCTGCCGGAGGATCGTTTGGCGGCAGCAGTCACCAATCGAAGCACTCGCTCGCGTACGACAACAAACCACTCGCGAGCAAGACATCGAGCCACCCCCGCAAAAGCACCATGGAGCGGTAATGGTCTGGAAGACATAAAACTCGCCATACAGCAACTGACCATGAGGTCTCAAACAAGTACCAGCACATACAGCAGTATCAGTTCTGAGAGCTCAGAACCGGCCAGACGACTAGGCCGCTATGCCTCCTTGGAGACGGTGAATACCAATGTAACCAGCGCCGACGAGTTTGTATGGGTTGACTCCCACAATCGCTTGGTGGAACTGCAACACCCGCCCTGGAGTCAACACTGCATTGTCAAAGTGTTGCGAGACGGGCGATGTAAGGAGTACGCTGACCGAGTGGCGCCCGATGCCTTATCCCGTCTCGGTTATTTGTTGCAGAGGGCATTGGTGCGCATAGCCCGAGAAATACAAAGACTATCTTCGAATATGGGTCTTTGTTCCAAGCAAGAAGTAGCTGGGGCCTTCAAGATAGTGCTCTGTCCCGCACTGGCTGATTCCTGTATAAAGGCGTGCCTTCGTGCGGCTGCCATGTTCGCGGTGCCGGGTGACAGTGCGCTAAAACAAAGCAAATCATCTCGAGCTGGCATACAGTTGTCAGTGGGAAGATTCCATCGATGGATGACTGACTCCAGGTTAGGAAAATTCATCCACGAATACGCCGCTGTGTACCTTTGTGCAGGCATGGAAAACCTCCTGGAAGAAATACTACTTCAATGTTTTCCCGCCGACTCAAGCCAACAGTTGACAGCTGCCGCTCTGGAACATGCAATATCGCTATCTGGTGATATGTGGGGTCTTCTGCAGCCCTTTGCACACCTCAACGCAGGACGAATAGCTTCGGGAGCGTTGACTATGCCGCGATGGGCAAGTCAGACATCATTGGGCTCGGGCACACATAGGAGTGGTTCCTCGAGTGGGAGCAGTAATGTTGCAATGGAATGTTTGCTAACAACCTGCGTTGGCAGCATTTCGGAACTGAAGGATCTGGCCCAAAGAGCACAGCAGAAATTCCAACAATGTGCCATCTCCAGTGCTGCCCTTTCAGCGCTTTTCTACTTTATGAGATGTTCCCAGCTGGAGCACAGTGAATTCTCCGGACAGCCATTGGCCGGAGCGGCCAATAGCAACAACAGCAATGCGAACAGCACCCAGAACATTCAGGAATTGTGTTACGAGCGAGCGTATGTGGTGTTGCCGCCATTGGTCGAATGGCTTCGAGTCGCCTCCGCACATGCCGAATATAGGAATTCCGCAATGATCGACAAAGACGATATAATGCAAGCGGCAAGACTCCTTCTGCCGGGCGTAGATTGTCCGATGCGGCCAGTGTGCAGCGACGAAGAATTGACCACCAAGAAGTCCCACTTCCCCCATTTGGCAAACGCCGCTGCATTGCCTTCAAACGGAAGTGAAGATTCCACGGATCTGGGCAAGCGTGCCACCATTGCCCTGGCCTTCAAACTAATGTTGACCGGAAGGGCTGAACTTCTAGCCCAGGCCTCGAACTTGTTACCTGTCACGACACGCTATGATACCCTCAATCACGCAGGGATGACAGCATTGATGATCGCAAGTATACGCAATGATGAGGTAGTGGTTCAAGCCCTTCTGGATGCTGGCTGCGAGCCAAACATAGAAGTACCCGCAATTGGAAATCCCAACTACCCTGCCATACACCCCGACACCCAGCACTGGACGGCAGTGACATTTGCAGCGAGTCGAGGCAATTATGCCGCTCTGCGAGTCCTGTTGGAGCGCGGCGGTAAAGTAGAAGGAGGCGCCCGGCAAAGTGAAGACAAACATACGTTGACACCGTTGCAGGTTGCATGTGGATCGGGTAACCTTGAGGTGGTGTCGCTTTTGTTACTACACGGAGCGAACGCCTTTCTCTCCACCCAGCAGAGGGACTCAATGAGTTTTGCTGGGTCTGCCCAACGGGGATGTTATTGTGCAATGTCAGTCGCAGCAGCCCATGGTCAAAGGTCCGTGCTGAGGAAGCTTCTATCGACGCCAATTTCGCAGGGCTCAAAGGATGTACTGTCTTTGGAGGAAATGCTAGCTGAGGGCGATTGTTCCAGTACCAGAGCCGGACCCGTTGCCGAACGATTGTCCAACAGCGAAATTGCCACGGCCCTGAGCAAAACCCAAATCAAAAGCCTCCAGGAAGCCATGTACCACAGTGCAGAAAACAATCATTTGGGTAGTATTTACGTCGGACCTTGTGGATAAGTATTGTCACAAATAATTCGTAATCTTTAATTTCAGATATCACCATTGAGCTGAGAACACTGGGTGTTCCCTGGACACTGCATTGTTGGATGCACGCTCTGGCAGCGGCGCATGAGTTACGCCTGGAGGGCGTGATAGACCAGCTCCTGCAGGACTTTCTTCAAGTCTGTCCAGACGACTACAGTGTGCAATTTGTTGGCGAGTGCCTGCCCCTGCTCTTCAATATATTTCGTTATAGTAAGAATGAGGGCACAACCCTGCTGCTGGCCGACATTTTTGCCACCTGCTATGGCTGGCAACAGATCAAACCGATTATGGAGCCCCCGTCACAGCCCATCAACAGTTCCCGGATTGACCCGAAATTCGTAAACAATCCCGAATTGAGCGACGTTATCTTCAGGCAAGTTCACAGTCAATGCATTAACATAACCCAACATACCAGACATAAGTGAAACTACAGTATAGTTCTGAAAACAATATTTTTAAAAGAAGAAGTTAGTCATAACAATTTTATTTAAAAATCCTGTCGGGTGCATCATAAGACCAACCAATTTTCCCACGTCTCTCCCCAGCTGACAAAATTGTTTTGTATTTTTGTAAAAAATGTCAGCAAGAAATGTCTCGTTTTTGTTAATAACAATATAGAGAGAATCTACAGTGTTTCCTAATCAAAGGACATACTTCCTAACTGAAAGATTATTAGGGAGTCTGCGGTTCTATAAATATACGAATTGCAGAAACTCAATACAATCTTTCTAGTGGATTGTGGATCAAGTCCCGCGTTAACAGAAAGAGGTGCAGGAGAGAAGCCCATGGGAATAAAGAATGAAATGAAATAAATGAGCTTACAACAATTAACTTATGATATAAGTTAAGAAAGCTTATTTTAGAATCGCAAGAGTAAGGGATCAGTTTGGATTATTCTCCATTTGTTTTTTAATTCATTCTCAGGAGATTTTTTTCTTGCGTCATTTTGGTTTGTTGGAAATATGGTGCTATAGTTTTAAGTGTGTGTGTGTGTGTGTTTGACTCTGTTTTGAATTTCTATATTGCAGGGTCGAGGGCAAGCTGTTCTATGGTCACAAAATTGTGTTGGTCACGGCTTCCCCGCGGTTCCAGAGCATGCTCAGCTCGAAATTGAGCGAAAATAGCACCCCGACGGTGCAGATAAACGACATCCGCTACCACATTTTCCAGTTGGTGATGCAATACTTGTACAGTGGTGGCTGTACCAGCCTCGACGTCTTAAAAACCGACGTACTGGAGTTAATGGCGGCAGCCAGTTTCTTTCAATTGGAAGGTCTTCTACGCTACACCGAATCGAGGTGTTCGGAAATGATAGACATTGACAATGTGGTTGCCATGTACATTCATGCCAAGGTATCTGCATCTGTCACATTACCCAGCTAATGCCCAAGTACTAATCCTCTCTCAATCTCTGTAGGTTTACAATGCCAACAAACTGTTAGAATTTTGTCAAGGGTTTCTATTGCAGAACATGGTGGCCCTGCTGACCTATGACGATTCTGTCAAGAGACTACTCTTCGCCAAGAAGATTCCCAACCACGATGTCCTGATCGGACTGTTGCAGGCCCTGCAGCAACGCATCAAAGAACGAAAATCAATGGGTCCGTGCAACTTTCGCCAACAACTCAGTTCGCCGTCGGTTTCGGCCACATCAGCCTCGGCAGCAGGCGCAACAAAATGAGCAACTCCAGCCGGTCGAACTTCCTAAAAGACTCTGTTGAACAGTTTTAGTTATTTAGTTTTAGCCTTTTTTTAATCCACTCAAACACATAAAATGTATGTTTGTGTGTATGTATGTGTATCTTGTATATCTGTATTTAATACGAACTTGTGTTCTAGTATTTGTATCTGTACCCACATCTGTATCTGTGTCTGTATGCGCAATTGTAAAAACCAATCATTGTATTATTTCTCCATGCTCTTCCAATAATAGAATCATTCCTTTATTTATTTATACAATTATTTGTACATATCGATTTTGATCGTTAATTTCGAATACTTGTGGCTGCTGTATACATACACATATGTAGGTGGCAATACGTGTGTGTAATTGTTGCCAGGCTGTATTTTTTTTTTTTTTTGTGGGGTATTTCAGATTTGTATGTTTTTGCCTGCAAGATGTTAAGTTATATTAGACTTGTACGTAGTTCGTTCAATTGAATGTGTGAATGTATTTAACTCACTTTAATAAATCCTCTTCGGCATCTGGGGGGTCTCTTTGAACATATCGTCCTCTTCCGAGTCGTCACTCCCCTCAACGATGTTAGGCGATGCTGCTAGTTTGCTACTTGCTTTAGCTGTAATTGAGATATCTTTAGGTCTCTCATCGATGTCTGTCGATGCTGGCAATTCACTGTTGGCTTTGGCGGCAGCCGATATCTCTTCGGGGATATTGTTACCTTCTGGAACGAAACCACGGTCCCCGGCCTTGTAGTGAACCACAACTTCTTTTCCATCAGCGTCGAAGAAGGAATAAGCTCCTGTTATTTCCAGATGTTGGTGTTCAGTGCCTGCATCTTTTACGACTGCTGTCTCTTCGCGAAACGTTCCATCAGCTCCACGATAGTGAAAACTGTACGAGCCATCCATATTGTGACTGGAAGATGATTCCATAATCTCCACAATGTGGGGCTTTTGTGTGGTAGTAGTTTTCTCTGGATCTGCATTGCCAATGGAGGCCGAACAGGCTGCACCTACCAAAGACATAACAACACATAGCTGGACGGGTCCAATATCGACCATAGTCTTTTAATTCTTTAAAGCATTGAATAGAAACATTATTTCAACTTACATATTTCATAGTGACGTCCGGTGTAGAACCGATCCAAGAAGATTTAGATTTGATATTGTTGCTGTTGGTGATTTAAACTCGCATTTTATTCTCCACGAACAAAGGCCGCACCGATCATTACAGTATTTTTTGTTTTTTTTTTTTTTAAAGATGTTTATCTGGTTCGGTTCGATGTGACATACATACCTTGTTACATATGTGTGTTTTTGTTTTGCATTCAAAGCTAAAACACAGTGTTGCCCTAAAAAAGGGTGTTACCCGAGTGCAGTCAACTTTGGCTGTGGACTTGCTGTCTGGTCGAGTTTTCCTGATTTTGTGAAATTTGCTCTTTTACATATTGCAGTCCATAACTACAGAATACAAACTCGTCTGCGGCACCCTATGATATAACGTTTGTCAATGCAAAAGGCTTTAGCCCGATATCAAAGTTTAGTTTTCAACGTAAAAGTGATAGGGGTCAAAATTACGACCTTAATCAGATTAATTCGAAGCCGGTTTGTTCCAAAAACGTGTGCTCTGTTTGCAACTTTTAAAATTTCTTTTAAAAACTTAGACTAACGCTTTCGTACAGGTACACACAAATGAACACCGTGCAATGTCTTCCACAAAATGTCTTGTCTCATGTGTGAGTTAAATACGGCAATTTGGGTAAATTTTTGATAAATTCATTATTATCGTAGCAAAAAATATTATCAGTTAAATCGACAGACAAATATACATACATAAATACGTATGTGTGTACAGTCCGTCAGGTATGTCTTCTCAAACGAAAATAAATCTCAGTTGTCTTAAACGATAGAATATGGTTTTAATGGTTCCCGAAGGTCTACTTCCTTAAGTGCCAAGGTAGTTTGTTACAATATGACTTAACCTGCCAGGTGGGCAAGAGAAGATAGATAGAACCACCATTTTGAACAGGACAGGCATTGTTGAGAGAATGTACTGTTTTTCAACCAGTCTCAATAACACATAGCCTTTTATCCGTTCAAAAAACCAAACCAAAATCTTTAGTTGACGAACTGTATACTTGTCCCATAGCAGATGCTTTGGGTCACGATTGTTTTGTTTGTTTAATCGTCCTAATAAAAATCCAGTTTGGCTAATTTGCATTGCATGGTAATGAGGCAATTGACACCCTGCACTCTTGCACCATGCCTCCAGCCGTGCTAATAATTTCCTTTCTTGTGTTTGGTTTGGTTGGCTGAGTGTATAAAAATACATTCCATTCTGGTCATTCGTTCTTCTTCTTCTTCTTCATTGGAATAACATCCAGAATACTTGGGCACGAGATACATCCGAACACGTATGTAAGTATGTATAGGAATGTACACATGCATGTGCACTAGTTGTTTGGTATGTTTATGTTTGCGTTTATTTTTGGAAGATTGTTTCATTCATTCATTTCGGTCATTTGTGTTTGTGTATGTGGCGTGTGGCCTAATGTTAATTTTCTCCAGACCCAAGAATACATAGGTATATACATATATACATACTATGTATTTATGTAGTTTTATGAGAACAACAACGTATGTATGTTGCTAACGCATACAGAACAATGGCCTATTCATGGTCCTTTAATTACGACTGGAATAAAGATCGGTGATTGTGGGATCTAACAAATCGTAGGTATTACTCATGATGATCTATCGGTGCACATGCATGTAGTGTGGTAGTGAAAACCGTCTCGCAGCTTTACTTGATTATATGAACGTACCTAGGTATATACACATATTGATATATATTTCCCGTTGATTTGTATTTATATATACAAACATATATGTGTACATGTTTATATATTTGCCTTGTGTTTAGCCGAAATCGAGGGCGTTGGCTATTATTGAAAATTCCATGATTTCTTCGCTGTTTTCGAGTCTGTATCCAAAAGACCGACACTTAAAAAATTGTGTTGAGTATGAAACATTGCAAGATTATAAGTTTGCTATTATTGAAGTTAGTGAAATTGAGTTTTTTTTTTTTTTGTAAATCATTTTAACTTTTAACAAACACAAAGGTTTTTTCTCCTCTAGATTCCAATGAAATTCTGTCCAAATCTCGACAATCTAACGATTTACGGAGATGAACCTTTATGCATATGTATATGTATGTGTTTGAATATTATCAATAAGTTATTGGATTTCCTTAAACATATAATAATAGAACAATTACTTTTTGAAGAAAGCGAGAAAAAAAAAACAAAAGAAATAAAATCATTTAGGAAATAAAACAGACTCTCTCTTTAGAATGCCGCAGCATCACCCAACAATAATAACAAAAACAACAACAATAATAATAATGAATAGAAATACGTTCGTAATGCCAATAGCTGGCAGAAGGCCAATAATATCGGGGCATTCGTACATGATTTTATGAACGTATGTATGTATGAGTGCGTGTGTGTGCTTGTGTATGTGGGAGAATGCTCATTCGTGTATGCCAAACATAGCAACAATAAATTGCAGAAAAGTACCAACTGAGGCAACGGAACCGTTATCATGGGATTATTAATTTCTAGCACCGGGAAATGGAATCAATAAAAACTGTTTACAAAATTCAACACTTTTCGAGCGATCATGCATACAAACAAACATACATGTGTACACAGCGAGCGCTCCTGTTCTCCGAAGTCAATGCATGCCACAAGTTCACTTATTTCTCTTCGGTGTGTCCAGCGTTGAGATCATTCGTAGTCTATGCGCCTTTTTCCCTTTCCTGTCGTCTCAAATATTAGCGCCAGTAAGCGGAAAAAGACAAATCAACTCGAATTCTGCTGGCCATCTGTTACCCCAAAATGTGTTAATAGTTCAAAAGGTTAATCCACACAGGCACATGCATACTTCAGCTACTCCCTTGCAGACACAGCAACCAGTTCCATCTATGAATGCTTTCAATACCAAATACACTTGACGACCGTACTGTTAGCCATATGGAAGTTCTTTCTTCGAGCTGTTTAGACATTCGAATAAGCAAAAAACCGTTTCCTAGATATTTAATAGCTCAATAGCATCAAAGGCACAAGCCAATAATGTAGCGCATATGTGTGCGTGCTTCAAAGTTTCAACAATTTAATCAAATCAAACATTCGACAGATTTATAGAATGTTCAGTTCAATTTATGGCCATGACGTGTTTTATTTAAAAAGAAAAAAGATTTTGTTTATACGTATTTAATATTGCATATTCCAAAACTTATTTCTTTTAATAATATTCATTTCTACAATGCCGACCAATTATTTATATATGTCTAATTTTAATTCTTCAGAAGGGAGAACGTACACTGGCCACGTGTCCAATTTTCGAATCCGTCAAAAAAAGACTGTTTAAAAATCTCCAGCTGATGCTCTAATGTCTCAAATAAATACTTGAGGATACAAAAGAAAAATGGAATGTAGGGGTATTTTGGGGGTGCTTCAAATTTTTGTTGTTAATAGGTGATGTACTTTATAGTATTTTCCCCTAACCAAACATTCCCTTGTCTTGTCGACAAGGAAACACCATTTGTGAACTATATAGAAAAGCCATGTCTGGACTCAAGTTAGACCTCGATTGTCGTAGCACTGGATAATGTTACTGGCCAACGTTGGCTCTTGTAGACAATCTTTTATTGTTATGTTACTGGAACATGTATTAATGGATAGCCCAAACAAACATCGACCTCCATTCCAAATAACAGACCAATGTCTTGCAATATATTCTAAAAAAGGAGTAATGAACAGTTATATGTCCAGCCACGAATTTTGGTGCAATTTCTAAAAAGACATATTTCCCTGTCTGATTTGTGGATGCAGATAGGATTGTGTGCAAAGTGCCTAGGCATGGACCTAACGAGGAGGTTGTTTGTTCATACAGTTCTAAGGAAACCATTTGTGTTGTTCCGATATTTTGCAGTTTGCTAGCTGCTCTGTCGGATTCGTTCGAATAGATCTGAGTGGCGGTGTTGGAAACGATTGTGCGGAAACATAAACTTTTTTATTAGCCCATACACATTTCACCAGTTGTATGTATGTGCGAGCGTTTTTGTGAGTTTTTTTGGATAGGTAGGTGGTGCGTCAACCGCAAGGATCAGTTAACAGACTGGAAAGACCAGACCAGACATGTACATCAATATCATATGGAATAGAGTTTAAAGAAAAACATTTTTCTTCGATTTTTCTTGCTCAGTTACACCATACACACATAAGTGTGTGTGTCAATGTGCTTCGCTGACACGGAGTTCCCTTCCGTACAAATGCTATAACGTACAAAAACAATATTCAATGAAACATTTATTTAATTAACAGGCCCATTTGTCTTTTACAAAGGCATGTGCCTTTGAAGGTGCAAGTGCAAAGTGGGCATGAATAATGCACCAGATTGCCACAAAGACAGCGACAATTTGCCACCGAAATGTTGGCAATTAATTGTGAGCCAAATTACAAGTAAATTGTGCGTATCGATGGGGACAAGTGCACAAGTGCACGGGCGAAGTGTCCATGTAGCCAGGAACTTTGTGGGGTCGTTTGTCCTAGAAGTTATGGGGCTATGGAACGAAATGTGAATGGATACTTACTCCATGGTGCTCAGTTGGTAATGTGTGTACAGCATTTCACTTACACGTCACAAGTTGTCTCAAAGATTCTTTGTTGTTGTTTTTTTTTTTGAAGTCTCACAAATGAACAGTTTTTGGCATGGGAACTTTGTTTGATTCAGCCGTTTGTTTTTTGTGTGTGTTTTTTTTTTAATAGACCGATCTCCAAAAATATTTGCTCGAGTGCTCGAGTGCGTGTAGATATGTAGCATTTCGATATATTCGTACGTAGATTCACTGAACACACATCCAAATGTCTGTTCGTATGTACACAATTCTTCAATTCTGTAAAGTGTTTTCGAAGCAACGGGAACGCGAGGAGCCAAAGAATTGATGTGCACTGGTAAACGTGTCGCGGCGTACTGCACCCACACTCCAAAATTTATTAAAACCCAAGTTCCCGATCGCCGACGTCTTTCGTTCTGTTCTGCAAATCTTTTCTGTTCGTCTTTTTCCAATATTTCAACATTCACAAAATGTTCACTACGAGTGGGAAAGAACAAACATGAGCATTTTTCATTCGTTTTTCCTCTGCCAGAAGAGAAGTAGGAGAAAGAAAATCCAAACAAAATAAACAAATACGTATACGCCGTGATGGATGGAGATGCGCAGGATCGTTAGATTTCATAACAACTAGCACCCCCATAGAATCGACTCAACCATCCACTGAGTGTGTGTACAAAATACACAGAGGGAGTGAGCCCAAAGCAATCGACGAGCATGGAGAAAACGACAAGTGGCCCAAGTGAATGTGTGTTCCATTGTGATGTGTGATTGCCTCCAACATATCCAAAACAACGCAGAACCATCAAATCAATTGCATGAATACGGAGGGATCTAAGGCGACTCATTGTTTACGTATAAACACCCACACAGTAAACAACACGCCACACGCACTCTTGACGATTGATAGTTTCCGTTTGCTTACTGCATTTCCCCCATTAATGGGAACGCCTGCATTCGTTGTTCATTCGGG